AAAATTATGTTTCTACTTTATTCACACTGACATAAAGATGGTGTCATTTTTACCCCCGATAAATGAAGCAAATGCAGAAAGCTTTATTTTTTCAAAGTAACCAGTGCTATTGATGCAACAAAAAACAAACAAAGCTCCCAACAACTCTCCGACGACTACTCCAAAACATATCAAACATTAGAATGCTATTCTTTTTTTTAAATCATTTTATGGGAGCCTCATACAACTTTTATCACAATCTATACATATATCTGCCAGGAGAAGCCAGCTCCTAGCACAATCATTACGGGTTTGGTAGGCGCAATTGTACAGCGACAATAAGCAAATATTATAGTAACGTTATAGAGAGCATGAGAGATAGGAGAGATATATAGAAATAAATGGAGTCAGACACATTTCATGGTAGCATTGCTCACCTCAGCCCCACTTGGTGGTCCACGTGGAGGGAGAGAGAGAATCTTTAATGTTCCCCAAGCTTTTATAGTCTCTGGGGACCTGCAAGCCCCCTAATTACAGGTGAAGACATACCTCACAGGAAGGGGTTGCGCTATAGGTAGTACAGTAATGGGAGGGGGTGACCTACGGGTACCCACGCAATGGGAAGAGGAGGGATTGGGGGTGTACATGCGACAAGATGGGCACATCCTAGATTTAGGATGGCAGCCTAACTTTGAATATCACAGAGCTGATTAGATTCGGCTTGTTCCTGGCCCAACTGATAGAGACCATTATCAGTAGGATGTGAACTCCGCCTACAGGAGCCTGTCCATTGTCCCCAGAAGCAGGGAGCAGGCCCAGTGCAGTCTGGCAACTGACCGCCCTCAGGGGGGGAATGCCTGTGCATCTGACCTCCCCCCACATATATCCATTGTGTCAAGCACATTTGTACATTTGTTGCCATCATCATTCTCAGAACATTTTCTTACTACTTGAGCCCTTGGTATCAGCTCCTCGTTTTTTCCCCTCCCTCCCTCCCAGAATGCAATTATTCTTTAAAAAAAAAAGAAGCAATTATTCTTCATGCTAATAATTTTTTAAAAATCAAGACCCAAATTTTATATCTATAAATCTATATCTATAATATACAGATACATAGCAATGTAAACAATTATTGAGCTTTATATTCTGGACACACCAAGTCAGTCTCTCTTCAAAAAATGCAATTATAAATTGAGGGCATTTCATGTTTGCCTCTTTTGCCAGCATCAGTCGGCCTCAGCTGAATCTTTCCATATCATGAGAAACGTGAACACCCCACTGCTTTCTGTGGCACCAATATTTCGTTCAGGATCAAGAACTCTGCCAAAGACCCCTGGTCAGCAACATCTCTTTTTCTCTTTGATTAGCTGTCATCAGATGCACTGTCAGATAAAGATTTTCTTTTTGTTCCTTTTCTTTATCAGATTTTTGAGAATTAAGAAATGCTTCAATTAATTCTAGACAATCTAAATTTTCTTTAGGTTCCCAAGTATTAGCAGTATCTGTAAATCCCTTCCATTTTAAGGAATAGCCCACCGCCTTCCCATTCACAACGTGTGGGTCCAGCTTTTTTTGTACCACACATACTTCAGGCTTGGCCTCGGGCATTTTCACTCCTTCCATTCTATTTCTCCCCACCACCACCACCCCATGGTGTAGTTTTACTGAAGGCCATTAAAAAAATCATTTTATTGGGAGCTCATAAAGCACTTATCACAATCCATACAACAATTGAATCAGCCATGTTTGTACATATTTTGCCCTCATTCTTTTCTAGACATTTACTTTCTATTGAGCCCTTGGTATCAGCTCTTCCCCACCCCTCCTCGTAACCCCCTGATAGATTGTACATTGTTATTATTTTCATCTCTCACACTGACCACTGTCTCCCTTCCCCCATGTTTTCTGTTGTTGTTCCCCCTGGAGAGGGGTGTATGGTTATGTGTTGATCATTTCTCCCTTCCTCTCCCCATCTCCCCCTACCCTTCTGGTATCACTATTCCCACTCCTGTTCCTGGATT